GTAAGACTCTAAATATGGTAACACATACTGCTATAGTACATTACCAATGACACAGCTAAAAAGTCCAAATTAATCCATTCTAACAGCCTGTAAATATATAAATAAAAAAACGTTTCAGGCGATTTGCCCGGTGAAAAAATGAAGATATTGAAAAAGTAGGAACACAAGGAAAACAATACGTCTTAACCACATCACTTCATGTTGAAGCCATAATAAATGAAACATGACAGTGCAAAGGAGGTAGAAACCTTAACATGCTCATATACAAAGTGCACTCTTATTCAATGTATAACAATTGGAATAAGAGTTTCGAGATCTCATACCTCCATGAAATATGGGCTTGATATGTGAATGTCTTTTTTAATTATGCAAATGACCTCTGCATTAACATAATATATGCATCGTGATGTTAACTTTTGATTAACTTACAGATGTCCTAAGTATGGCATTCCCATCATTTACCATTAAGAAATCATAGAATAGAATTTTCGCATTAATTATGCAAATTAGGTCATCATTTGCATACTTAGTATCTGTTGATGTTTCATCCGCCATAGGTTACATACATTACATGTATGAAAGTACTATAATGTAAAACACTGTAATTATAGAATTTCCTCATTAATTATGCAAATAAAGTCTTCATTTGCATAATTTGTATTTCATCATGTACGTCTCTCTCTCTCAGCTACCTACCTACCAAAAATGATGAAAATAAGTTGTTCTTATCTGGACTTATTGCCTTTCAAAGATTTCGCCCAAAGGTCTTATTCCTGACAGGAAAATCTATCTGTCACCAAAAATTCAAGACCATAGCATGTTCAGGACAAAAGATACAAAAACCGGAAGTCCTGCTGCAGTACCAAGGTCATCCTCCAGGAGGCCCATATTTGACCTTGACCTTCGTCTTTCTAAGACTTACCAGCATACCAAAAATCATCACAATTCATAAAGTCGTTATCAAGTTATGCTGACTACAAATATTCGGAAACACAAACACACACACAGACACACACACATACACAGACACACACACACACAGACGCGTCAAAAACAATACCTCCATTTTTCATGGAGGTAAAAATATTTAAAAGAAAATAAGTAGGTTTGGCAATAAGCAAGTCTAGAAAATTCACGATAACTCAGACCTAATAGTCAATCACCTGAACAACTGGGCTTGTTATCCTGCCAGAAGCCTCCTTCGACGCATCTCAGTTCGGTAGGATACCCGGGCTTTATGTAGTACCCCTCGTTGCAGGTGAAGGCGATCCTTTCTCCCACGTAGTAGAACCTCTTCATAGGGCTTCTATTGCCGTAGTCAGGAGGACCGATGTCCCAGCAGCCTCTAGTATCTGAGTTGGCATAGGCAATGGTAAGGTAAAGCAATCATTATTATGGGGAAAAGGACCAGAATTGAAATCCTTTTTAAAAAAAGAGACCAAAGATTTGGCCTGGAGCAGAACAACACAGAGTTACCAGCTTCACAAAACATCTCTAGATCACTCCTACGTATTTTGTTCTTGCATAAAAATAGTGTAAGGCACAGACACATTTGAGAGACTGAGAGGAATGCCTGTGACTTTGTTAGCTCTATATTACTAATAAGTGAATATCGTCAGATTAGAGTTGTCTAGTATTTAAAATATCTGAGAAGCACGGACATAAATCTCGGGTGTGGTGTCGGGAACAAGGTATGGTTCTTACTGCAGGAAACGACGTCGCATTCCTGCTGGCTGCCATCTTCCACCAGACAAAATGGCCGCCCCAGACCGGTAGGGTTACGGCAGTAGTTGTTATCCATGTTGGCCCAGGGGTTACGCGGCTGGGTAGAACCCTTCCTGCGCAGCGGACCACTTCACACACTCTGCCCCGGACTTGGCTGTACTCCGTGTGCCGCGGTAGTTCATGCCGCCACCGTGGTAGCAAACTGAGGAGGAAAAAACGACCACAAATCAGCAATTTATCCTACAGGTAAACAAATAAATGCACCTCTAAATGCATGTTTGTACTTAAATACCAGGGAATGGGAACATGCCAATTACAAATGCCACTGCCAGCGGAAAGTCATGAGTCTATTTTTCTCTTTACCTTCGCCGTTCCTAGTCGCTGGATCAGGGTTCCAACAGCCGTGCTGTGGTGGTGGAAACAAGTCACAGGTAGGGAACCGCTTCTTCATCCGGGTATCAGCCGTGTTGAGGACTTCCTCACACCACGAACGGCACGGTAGCAGTGGTTTGTTCCTAAATACACAGACATGTTTAGGAATATTGACATGAGGTTTTCTTACTTTTAAAACACACAAAAAAGAAAATGCAATTTAAGCACGAACGTTGACGTTTCATTTGAATATGACCGAACTTATTCCTAACTATAACTGTGGAATTATAAAACTTACCAATACTAATAAAGTAGCGTTTAAAACATGCCTCGGCGACGTGATTCTCTTTTGATGTAAGTGATGATCATGAGGTCTGTTTTGGTTATAGTGTGCTTGTTTAAGGATGTGGGCCAGTCATAAGTTTCTCACGAGAATTTAATAATAAACATACACTTGAGAAATAAGGGTATTCTAGTGTATATTCATAAATTATGCAAATTAGGACCCAATTTGAATAAATTATATTTATTGATGTTCACCTTCACTGAATTTCCAGTATGGCAAGTACTAAATTCCCAGAAATTACCACTATAACATTGTATAGTTCATATTAATTATGCAATTTAGGTACTTATTTACATAATGGTCCGCGCGGACCCCAGCCGGCTTTCGATCATAATGGATACACTGGCGTTCTTGTACATTAGCTTATTTCCGTTTTAATATTTTTTATGCACTCATCGTATGTCTACCAAGTTTTCAGAGAATGTTGTAGTAATAGAATTAAATTTTTATAACTTTGGTGTAATTATAGACGTCATATAACGTCAGAGCTAATAATATAGTCCGTCATATTGGATTTTGACCAATGACGTCATAAAATTAGCATATTCTATACATATTAAATGATTTAACTTATATTTAATTATGTAAGATGTTATTAATGTTGGAAAAGAAGTGTAATTTAATATAAAACTCTAATAAAAAACTATAAAATTTTTATGTTTAAACAAAAATTACTTCTATTGTAAAAAAACTGCCTGCTGGAAACCCGTTGCCATGGCAACACAAAAAAACATCAACTTACTAGTATTAAACTAATATGAACTTTTTTTCAGATACATTTTAGGAAAGGTCTCCAAATTTGATACTTCTAGCGCAAGCCGTTTAGCCGCTATCTGAGATCAAAGTTGGGCCTCAAAAGCCCCTTCAGTCTGAAATGGGTTTAAAAATCGGGTATTTCTTCTTGTCTTCTTTTCTTCACCAAAAAATAGAAAAAGTTCAAAATGTATGATTTTTGTATGTAATGTGGACACAGAGGTTCCCACATCAGTTTGCAAAACAATTGAGCTGGTAGCATGTTGATAATTTCTAAAAATTAGCAAAAAAGTGTTCTGGGGTCCGCGCGGACCCCAGGTGTACAGATTATTCAGTCCGCGAAGGTGTTCTGTTGAGGGTTAAGACCTTGTCTTTCTCAGTTACAAATGTCACAAGTGTTTTAAAGCTCTAACATCGAACACAGCAGATTTATAGAATTTCTTCATTAATTATGCAAATTAAAAGATGATTTTTTATGATTGTAATTCAATTATATCAAGCATCACTTAAGCTACCTACTTACAAAAATACCAAAATCATGACGATCCGTCAACCGCTCTTTTAGATAAAAAGAAATCGCCCTGCAGTTCCATAACAAGCTGATAGGGGGCCTTTAATCGCGTGACTTCTTTCTAAGCACAATGGTTACCTTCATTTAAAATTCATGACCCTAGCATGTCCCGATCGCGAAATATCAAGACGAGAAATTCCGCTGCAGTACCAAGGGAAGCCACGAGGGGCCCAACATCCTATCATTTTCGGAATTCGTCATACGCTACGAGTTATGTTGTTGACAAAATTTAATTCCCTTTTGAATGCTTTACGTGGAATTCTTAGAATATTTTCAACTCAATCGCAGTACTATTCCAACGGCTCCACCCCTGAGGCGTCGTCAAAAATCATGATCAACGTAACGAAGCATGTTTACTCACATGCAAGAGGTCGCGTTGTCTGCATGACGAGACAAAGAGCAGGTAGTGTCGTTCTCTTTGGGTACAGCACATTGCGGGAAAATCACTGTAGATGCGAATTCCCGGAACTCGGGATGTCGGTTCTGTCCGTTTGTGGGCGAACCGATGAGCAAGTCCACAGCAGAGGAATTCCGTATCTCCTCAAACGTCGTCTGGCCCAGCTGATTGGGTAACATTGTAAGTCTACCGCCGAGGTTGAAATCCACAGGAATCGGCAGGCACTCTGCATATTACAAAATAGCCATTGTACAATTCACATTCTTTAAACATCGACAGGAGGCACTGACAAAGATGTAAAAATGATCCATTAAGAATTCTGCCCGAAATGCAAGTTGAAACTTTTTTGGCAGCATCATGAAATCATCGGACTTTTACCATAATAATGATTCTCTTCTTTTATTTCTATTTATTTTCTTGTTACTTTCAGCATTAAGGGCCACGACAAAACAAATAGTACAGTCAACAAACTTTGGATGATGGGAGTTAATATTGTGAGAAAAGCATGACGGTAACAGGAGTAAAAAATGCTTAATATCAAGACCTTGTTCCCTTGGAAAGAAAATTGAATTTACAAGTAAGGTTATTGTACGAGCAGCTGTTTGCATGTGAAAACTAAAAGGGCTTTGTGAAAGCAGCTTACCACAGCCGTCCTCGTCACTCCCGTCCGAACAGTCCGTCCTCCCGTCACACCGCCTCCAGGTCAGGGTGCAGGCATGTCCGTGTCCGCACCGGAAGTACCCGAGGGGGCAGCGGATCGCTGTGTGGCCTGTTAGGTAGTACGGTAACATTTGCAATGTCACCGTAACATGGTCCAGCCTAACAACTGATCTGGTTATTTTGACTTAAACATCGAGGTCCAGATTGATAGTGACCAGCCCCTCCAGCTTGGTCCGTCATATTGTTACATAATTTATTCCAACACCATATATGGTGACCAGCCGTCCCTGGAGGTCGGCCCTGCTACATTGCTCCATCAATATAACCAAACAACAAGGATCACTGTGAGACAGGAGGGACAACCGTGTGGTCTGAGTCATTGATATTAATTTGCCTTTGGAGTTGAAGGAGAGAAAAGGAACAAAATAATGTTACTAATTTTCGGAGGTAAAGTTGACATAATTTTGACATACCGCCCTTCAGCTGGCAGATGAAGTTGGATGCGGATGAGCACGGCGCGTCGTTCCATCCGGCCCCGAGGTGGTTGACACAGCCTTCTCCGTTACTGTTGGGTTCCCCGGGCTGCCACCCAGTCCAGTCTGCGGCTGGGCTGTATGGAGTCCCGTCTTCCCATGCCCACCCTCCCTCTCCGTTCTGAATGTTCAGGCCCAACCAGAAAGGAGAATTGGTATCCACGGCGTTCTTGAGGTCCATCAAGAAGTCGTCCACTTCTCTGTCCTTCGGCATGGCGAGGAGCCCCCCGTCCGCTGCACACACCTGTCTGGCCTGACTGTAGGTTTTGACTTGGTTGTACGCCTTGAAGCACGAATCCCCGTGTGCGGTGTAACCCATTGGACAACCTACAGAAATATCTAATCCTTTAAGCTTTTAAAAAATTAAATTCATACTATGTTAGGAAACTAGTTCATAACTGCATAGAGAACTGGTATTCTCTATACAATAACTCTCAGACTCGACTTCCTCTTCTCGACAAACCAGTCACTGTTAAACTCTCCCACTCAGACTCGACTGGAGCAATGTGATTTTAAATCGGTTCCCATTGACTGACAGAAACAGAAATCGGCACAGTATTAGGTATTTTAACAACAACAACAACAAAACACTTTCCCGAGTCTTTATTAACTACTTACCGCCTTGCAATAGCGTAGTGACCGGAGTCGTGATTCCCTCATCAGTGGTAGGTGTGATGACCGGAGTCGTGATTCCCTCGGCAGTGGTAGGTGTGGTGACCGGAGTCGAGATTCCCTCGGCAGTGGTAGGTGTGATGACCGGAGTCGTGATTCCCTCGGCAGTGGTAGGTGTGGTAGACCGGAGTCGTGATTCCCTCGGCAGTGGTAGGTGTAGTGACTGGAGCTGTGCTTGTCTTCACATTTGTTGTTGTTGGTGATGTAGGGATCACTGAAATGTTTGAATAGAAAACCGAGCAGTTCAACTGTGTACCACGTGATGTGGACACCACGATATGTACAATATGTACCAAACACGACAATTGCTAATCTTAGGATGCACTTCTTACACTTCATTCGGACACACTGTTACCTTCAGAATGGAGGTACAAAACCTGTCTGAATATGTACCTACCAGTGGTGACGCCAGGAGGCGCTGCCGTGGACAGGCGGATGTCGAATGGCGATGCCAGACCCTCCACCAGGACAGTCTTGGTCAAGTCTGACTTGGATAACCTGGGGGATTGAAAAAGAGCAACTTATTGTGTCTGTTCAAGTATGGATATATGTATTTATGCATACGCCTAAATTATATCCATATGTATGTTTGTGCGTGTGTGTGTGTTTGTGTGTGTGTTTGTGTGTGTGTGTGTTTGTGTGTGTGTTGTGTGTGTGTGTGTTGTGTGTGTGTGTGTGTGTGTGTGTGTGTAGTGTCGTGTGTGTGTGTGTGTGTGTGTGTGTGTGTGTGTGTGTGTGTGTGTGTGTGTGTGTTTGTGTGTGTGTGCGTGCGTGTGTATGTCTCTGTGTGTTTCTGTGTGTGTGTGTGTGTGTGTGTGTGTGTGTGTGTGTACTGTGTGTGTGTGTATGTGTCTGTCTGCTTGTCTATGTTCAATGATTTATGTACAATAAATCCTATCAGGGAGTTGTAGTAGTATTCTTACTACAATGTAATAATATGTAATAATTTATTTCACCAGGGAAAACATATCAAATACTGGTGTTTATTTGATTTTTTTTTAATTTATCAATCTCAAGACAGCTGGATAACCCCATTCAGTCTACACTGACTGTTTTCAAGGCTGTTTTTAAGCTTGTTACAGGACAATGTTACATACTGTAATACAAAGAACAACATACAGTAGACATAAAACATATAAGTCCGATGCGTCGAAAACAAAATCATGAACTAATTCTCAACGTCCTAGCCGATCCATGGTCAAAACACAATAGTTCGGAAGTGGAGGCCAGAAGTCAGGTTTCATACGACACACGTTTTAGGGCTTCTTTAAACTTTGAGAGACTTGGTACATGTCTTAAGTTAGCTGAAAGTGTGTTGTGTCTTCTGTGGGTAAATCCTAAACATAAACCATTAACATCAAATACTATTGTGAAGAACAAGGAATAATTAAATGGTCATAAACAGGTGAAAGGGCTCACAATTATAGTCTTTTCGTCTTTATATTTCTCAACAATTACCATTCAAAGCTCGACCAGACCTAGAAATTCCCGGCCTTGAAGCCGTATGGGCAGAAATTATGCAGCCTTCTCGTTAAAACATCTTAGTCTGTAGCATGTATAAACCCCAGCCGATAACATCAACTTCTTTGATGAATTTAATGATTGTATGAACACTGTCAACGATGAGCATAAGGAGACCACTATAATTGGTAACCTAAATTGTGACTGTCTTAGAGCAGACAATGCCCGTCCAATTGGTAAGCTGATATTTTAATGTATGCTACACCAACTTGTATACATCATCACTACATCGACACGAATCACTGACACATCCAGCTCTTCTATAGATGTAATCTTAACGAATGAGCAATCCAACCTTCATAACCAAGGAACATATGGAGGGGGGTTCAGTGATCATGTGATGACATTTGCTTATCACAGGGCTAAAAGTCCAAAGACACAAACTACGTAGTAACTGTAATTAATAGAAGGGACTACAAGTCTTTGGCCTAGTCTGGCGCCCTCGCGAGATTAGGCAATTCCGTGAACAAGATGGAGTGATAGTCATCGAAAATGTGGAGGTAAGTACTCTCACCCTTCAAATAACTCTCACTAAAAAAAGAATCTACTAGTAACTGTATCTATACGTGACAAATGAATCTCTTCAACGATACAAGGAACTACAGGGGATTTAGTGAGGAGAAATTCCTTCATGATCTGACCCGGGTGCCATGGCACATATATACTAGACAACTTCTCAACTGTTGACGAACAGCTGGAAGCATGGATAGAACTTGTCACCAGTGTCGCGAATGTGCATGCGCCAATTAAAAAGCATTTGTATAAAAAGGCCAAAAGCTCAGGTAACGCAACCGACATGGCTGAATATAAGGCAATGAAAAACTTGTGCCGGAAGACCAAAAGAGATCACGCTGTACACTCAATTATCAAAGGATCAGAAGAGGTACAGGCGGGAATGTGGAAAGCCTTTCGTAATTAAATACCAAAGAAGACACCAGAAACTGTATTATACATAATGGACAGAATATCACAGACACTAAAGGAATAGGGGATTACCTTAATGTCTTCTTTCACAAAGTTGTAGGTGATTTGTATAACTCTATTTCAAATGTTCCCCACCTTACCGCTTTCCAGTTCGTTAACGAAACCACCAGCACATTTGCCTCTACTCCAATTACGGAAGAATTTGTTATAAACCAGTTGACTAAACTCAAAGTAAGGAAAGCCGCTGGACTCGATAATTTGGACAATAGGCTAAAAGCCTAAAAGTGGGTGCACATATTCTTGGACCCCGACTAACCAAGCTTTTTAACAAGTCAATAAGCATGAAGCCGTTCCTAAATAGACAAGCATTGCAAGCTATATACACTAGCTTATTCTTACCCCACATACACTACTATAGTACAGTATTGGACCAGGAGGGAAGGGTCACATGGATAAACACAATTTTATCGGGCACGTTTACCACAGAGACAAGCTGAAGCCTTGCGCACCAAAGTAGCTACCGCCCGAAAGCCACTATGAACTATGTAACAGCTTTAGTGCACTATGCACCAAGCAACATCTAGTGTCAGTGCACAGTAAACCAGTCAGCCTTGTCTTGATGAAGATGACAGAAGGTCATCGAAACGTTAGCTAGAAAAATAAATGGTTGTGATAGAAAGAACTTTGCTATTCAGTCGTTTACCAACCTGATGAAATTATTTACGGATGTAAAACATAAGTCATGTTTACAAAATAAATCATGTCACTCAATACAATATGGAGCAAAATAACAAGACATCAGCAGGGAGATTTCTACATAAGTGTTTGCTAGATAGATCGGATTTTCTTACATTCCGACTTTCCCTTGCCATGGCTTTGATGAATCACGACGATATCGAGACGACCAGTAGACGTAGTTCTCGTCAACAGCAATCCCCCGCACCCCCGTCCCGGATTCATACAGCAGTTGTTGGATATCGTTACCCAGCAGGTCTGAGCTGTACACGCGGTACCGATCAGAGTAGTACAGCCGGTCCTCTAAATGGGAGAAATAAACGAAGGATTTATGCACCCATCAATGTGAATACTGCAACTGTTGAGTAACACAACAGAGAGGGTAGACGTGCACATAGACAATATCTTACACCAATTGCAAGGACATTCAATCATGATTGAACGTCCTTACTTACACGTAGTACATATTTATTTAAACCACTCCTGCCCTCATACAATACAATAAGGTAACACCGACCTACTAAAGAACGCGTTTTAAAATGTTCCTTCTTGATTAATAATTCTTTTCTGTATAAATAAATATATTTAGTAAATTGTTTCTTGCTGTGTTGTTTCTTACCTCTATAGTCTATTGTAACGGCGCGGGGATCAGACACGCCCGTGATGATGGCGGTTGGGTTACTGCCGTCCATCGCAGCACGGGCAATTGTCTCATTACCATCGTCCGCCCAGTACATGAGTCTGTGAAAGGAGTCAAGCAAACAAAATGTCTTATCTCCGCCAAATTTTCATACATGTTATTAAGTGGTGTTTCCTTGTACAGCGTTATTAGATTATTATTATTACCATAAATGATATAGATTATTCATAATGACAATATAATCCACATAATCCCTACACATCAATGGTCTCTGCCTAAAGCGCACATATGGCAAAATAAGACGTCAAAACAAAACAGTAACATGATATTCCAGGAGTCCGGAACACCAGATCAAGTTTTATTACCCTCGCCAAGAAGGTTATGTTTTCAGGCGTTCGTGTGTGCGTGTGTCTGTAAACAATAACTCGAGAAGGCTTAAATATATTGTCTTCATATTTAGTAGGCGGTTAGGTCTTGATGAGACATCGGAATGATTAGTTTTTGGGCCCCTAGCGGCTTGTTGTGGCACTGCAGCGGAACTTCCGGTTTTGATATCTCATGATCTGGTGGTGATAGCTCTAGGGTCACGAAATTTTAATGGTAGGTAGGAATTGTGCTGGGGAAGAAGTGACGTAGGTTTGGGCCACCTAGCGGCTTGCTCAGGAACTGCAAGGGTGGTTCTTTAAAAATACTTTATATGTTACCTTCGCCAAGAAGGTTATGTTTTCAGTAGGGATTCTTCGTCCGTTTGTCTGTTTGTGAACAGCATTACTTAATAAGCTTTATATGCATTGTCATGTAACTTAGTAGGTTGGTATGTCTTGATGAGATCTAAACATGTTTAGATTTTGGGCCCCTTGGCGGCTTTTGTTGGTACTGCAGCAGAACTTCCGGAGCATTTGTTGAAAAATCTACGAAGGAGGATAACTCAAGAACTGGTTAACGTATCGTCGTGATTTTTGGTATGTAGGTAGCTTAAGTAATGCTTGACATAGGTATGCGACAATTATGCAAATCTGGATATTGTTTGCATAATGTATGAGGAAATTCTATAAATCAGCTGCATTACATTAAAGAACTATTCAAGCTTGTGACATATGTAATTGAGAATGAGTGAAACACAGGCAGATATATTTATTATGGAAATAAACACGTATTTCGCATAATTATTGAGGAAATGTTAGGATAATGGTAATCGCTTGGTATTTCATACTTTGGGTATTTGAAAGTTAAGAGAAGGTTAACATCATTAACTGATTCAAATAAGGACCTCATTTGCATAATTTATGACGAAATAATAGAATGGATTTCTTTGTTAAGGCTGTCTTTTGGTGGAGAATATGATCAACTGATATAATTCATGCAAATGAGGAGCCTATTTGCATAATCAGGAGGAATAATCTTTATCAGTCATAAAAATTAACCTCATTTGGCGAATGTATGAGATCGTAGAAGTCTAGTTACCAGTAGGATGTTAATGAAAGTTTGCACTATGACGTATCTAAAACGATGGACTGGTTGAAATGCATCGAGTTTACAAACGTTAACGTACACAGCCCTGTGCCCATGTATGTAAAATGCGGTGAAGACATATTGTGTTCCCTCATGTTTCTTCTTCTTCTCCTCCTGCCATTTCTTTAAAGGGATTCAACTCAGCCGTTTTTCAGCCAAATGACCTGAAATTTGGCATGGACGTAGAGTGGGCCAATACCCCGACGCGTTTTTTTTTTTCATTTTTTTGAAAAATTGTTTTATATGGTTTTTTTGGCCATTTTCAGGCAAAAAATATACATTTTGAGATCTGGTTCCCAGGTACTAAAACCAAATGACCTGAAATTTGGTATGGGGATACCTTGGACATATGTCTACAAAAAGTCATTCATGCTTTTGACATACACCACTTAAAAATTGGAAAAAATAAGGCTTTTTGGCTATTTTCGGACTAAAAATGTACATTTTTGGCTCCTGTGCCCTAATATTAAATCTGAATGACCTGAAATTCGGTATGGGGATACCTTGGACACATGTCCAAAGAATGCCATTCACGCTTTTGACATATACCACTTTAAAATTGTGTAACATAGGGCTTTTTGGCTATTTTCGGACCAAAAATGTACATTTTTGGTCCTGTGCCCTAATATTAAATCCGAATGACCTGAAATTTGGTATGGGGATACCTTGGACACATGTCCAAAGAATGTCATTCACGATTTTGACAGACACCACTTAAAAAGTTATGTAGAATAGGGCTTTTTGGCTATTTCCGGCATTGGAAGGTTCCATTGCTGCATGGGGGTGTAGACTATTGGCAGCCATCGTAGGATAGATCCATTTTCGGTATGGGGGATGTGGTGAAGCCATCTGCTGCATTTGCTCTCAAGCAAATGTCGGCCTTTCTAGTTTTGAATGTATTTTACTCACCCATTCCTGGGGTCTAGGACCAGGTCATAAGGACGGCTGACGGCTGATAACGTCAGAAGTGTTCTAGTGGACGATCCATCCATCTTTGCTACAGAGATGGTAAGTTCAGAACTATTAGTCCAGTAGATATCCCCTCTAGCGTGGTCCAACGCCAGGCCATTGACATCTGCATAAAAAAGTGTGGACGTTTTGTAGAAAATATGTTTGAAAATGCACACGTCAAGAAGATTTTGATATACATACATGTACTATATAATAGAAAATTCTTATATACGGAACAGTTCACGACAACATCGCAGTAAACACAGTAAGATTCCCCAATAATGCCGGGGTCACACCAATAAACGTTTCCTTATTACAAATAGGCTCCCAGTCCAACCTGAGATGTCCTTAACATGTCACAGACAAAACAAGGAACCTCCGGGTATTGTAATGTATGTTGCAGAATGTTGGGTGCATGTTGGGACTGTTCTTTAAATTAGTGAATGGTGTCTGGGTGTGTGTGTGTGTTCACGCGAATACCATTTTTTCGAAAAGTTTCGAAATGTTTGTAATTGGCTAAATGATCTGGGAAATCACTAATCCCCCCTAGCCCACTGGAGCCCAAAAATAGAAAGGACAGGGGGCATCCCGTGGCGATTCTGACTGCTCGACCCTCAGCGACCAGCGATAATGTAAACAAACACCTACACAAACGGCCGCGTGAGAAATCAACTCAAGTGCGCGGAACTTGCTGTCGAAAATTTATCAAGCCGCTACGCTTCCCCCCGCGGCTGCCATCCCTCCCCACTTATCCCACACTAGTTCAAATCACGTCAAAAAAAAACATCAAAACATGCACAGAAGCGTGTTCATATCTTTCATGTTACGGTTAAAACTTAGAACCTCATTTTGAGCGAACGTTACAAACACGAGACAAAATAATATTTTCGAAAACAAATCGCAATCAGCAAGGTTTCATTCCTGTTTCATTCATCATTGTCGATTGTAAAATGATCACTCATCTGTTGTCTCCTCTAGTGTGTCATTTGTAGCGTAATCACGGCGTGCCAAAAAAAATCAGTCAAAACTATGAAAATTCCGGGATAAAAAACTTGGCAAAAACGTGTTCTCCACATCGCTGTACAAAACCATGCGTGCGCCATTTTGATATGTAAATAGCAGCGCACGATCTACACTCTCATTGGTTCACCTCACATGACCTGCGTTCCGATTGGATAAGCGGTATCGCGCCGGCAGCGCGACAGAATTTCTTTATCAGCGAAGAGGCACATTTTCGCTGCTTTCTACGTTTTTTATACGACTACTAAGCAACATCCTATCAAAAAAAGGGCGATTAGACTCTAAAAGAATTTTCGGGACAATTTCTATGCGCCCTTGTTCGAGCCAGATAAAAATAACCGCGGTACCCGGAAGATAAAAATAACCGCGGTACCCGGAAGTCAATGTACCGAGCTGGATTTCCATGGGTCCCATCTACCCCAACGCGAGACAAAACTGCGATAATATTTCTTTCCTCGATACCTGACACCCCCTCTTACCAGATGTGGACGACGCCTGCGACACTTAATACACGCCGAAAATCAAAAGACAAAACCACTTTCACACACAAGGGGTGTCCATACGCTCTCAAAACGCATCATTTTCACGCACTAAAACACACATACTAAAAAACCAAAACAACGTGCACCATCTACAGCCCAATAGCAAAACGTATACCAAGTCCCAGACATATCCGTCCACCCAAACGCGAGAAACGGATGCGAACGTAAAAGGCATCTTCCCCCACAAAACCTCCGCGCACGGGATACATCCCTACCCGGAGGTAACAACCCGTCTGAAATATCCCGATAAGGTTTATAGCGGGAAGCCATGTTCACTGTTACTTACTCCAGGGTCCTATTTGGAATATCGACTTGTTTTGGATTCAAAATCTCAAATCTGAATTCTTTGAATAAAATATATTTATAAATGCAAAACAAAACACAGATGTGAAAAAAAAGAACTGTATAACTTTTCAGCCATTCTCTTAAACTACATTTGTTTGACAGATGGGATCCGTCCATACCGCTGCTTTGATTGTAAAATTACACAATTATAAGTATCATAGTTTAATCACAATAAAACAAGCATTGTTGAGATGTAAAGTTTGGAACGAAAGAAAAAGCAGGTACTACGAAGCCTTCACCAGTATTTTAGATTTTCCTAATCATTTATACAAATGATTCTCCGATGGACTTTTCCAGAGGAACACCGTAAGCACCACTACCTGTTCTACTTACAATCTTTGGCGGGTCAGTGTGTGTGTGTGTGTGTGTGTGTGTGTGTGTGTGTGTGTGTGTGTGTGTGTGTGTGTGTGTCGTGTGGTCCTAGTTATGCAGACAGATGAACGACTTAGTGTGTTTGTGCGTGCGTGTGTGTGTGTGTGTGTGTGTGTAAATTTGTATGTTAAATAACGTGAGCCTAGACAATGAGAAAATTAGCCGGGTCCTTACATCTGCTTGAGGACTATTCTGATCTTCTTTGTAAGACCATACATCATCATGTAGTGTTGCGTTTTGCAATAGTTGTCTCCAATTGCCATAAAAACATGATAATATGATATTTTAACTCACAGCTGATGTCTAAGATGGTCTCCCTGCCACTTCCATCACGACGAGCCCGGTGGATTTTCTGGTTCTGGTTATCTGACCAGTACACGTAGTCCGTGAGCGGGTCGTGGTCCAGGGCTCTGGGCTCTCCTACATCTCCGAGCGGAAGCGTGGTGTTCGATCCGGAAGTGATGTTAACTTGAAGAATGATTTCTCCATTCCTGTCAGCTACCAATAGGAATGGCTCACTGATGTTACTGGAGCCGGGGTCTCCTAAGGTGGAGGAAATAACCAGAGTATTAAAACAGATTTTTTAAAACAATCGTGTCACGTCTTAAATTATTATCTATTTTCGTACTTTCAAAAACTAGTTGTTCATTTATAACGATTGCCAGGCAATAGGAAGTGAAATATGACGTGCCAATTATGGCGATTTACTGCCACTATTTAGAAACCTGGTCAGATTTAAACTCCTACCCGGAACCTTCCGGTATCGGACCAGGCAGCGTCACGATGGAGCAAGTAGAAATCTACTGTATTTTCAGACATCGCTTGTCTTAAAACAGTTATATATAATGGAAAGAAAATCTGCTCTGGAATTTAGCTATGGATATGTGTTGTTTTAATGGTTTCGCTGCCGCATTCTTTTTTTATTTATTCACATATATTTATGATTATTGGGCGAAAAGCAAAAGTTGCTTATATAACACCTTCTACTCAAAAACATACAACGAGTATAAAACACATTGACAATTGCAAGATACATGTATAATTACAAGATGGATAAAACCAAGATAAATACAAACAAGACAAGTTGGTGACTCATTAATTACGAGAATCTACCCGTGCAGTAAATGTTGTTTTGAACTACATAAAAAACATTACGGTTTAGTAGGCGTGAGAGTGATGTGGACCTTCGAAGTAGTAAGGAACATAGGGAACTGTCATTGAGATGCTGCATCTCTACTATGTTGGAGAGAGATGATAACAGAGTACTTCTTTGACTGGAATAAAGTTTACAATGTAGAAAGTAGTGCTCAGTTGTTTCACTATAATGATAGCCACATACACATGCCGCATACTTGCAGAAAGCGTTCTTAAAAGTTGGTATCGATTTCGTCACGCAGTCACGTCACCGGTTCCCCTGGGCAAAAAGCATGGGTCGCGTTTTGTCGTCGCTTTAAAGTGAAGTAAGAATACGTCAGATTTTGACCTTGAATAATGATAGACCAGAGTTTGACCGAATCAAACTTGTCCGACATCAAACTCTTCACTATTTCGCCGTGAATGGCCTATTATTAAACACAACGCCACTCAAATGTGTGAAACACTGAATTCTCACGCGGAAGCAAAACACTATCTTGTTGATGCTGTCGTAGCTAGGAGCGAGCAGTTGTAACAAGGCTGAGGCAATAAAAATCATTGCCAAGGCGACGACTGAATGATATATATTATTTCATGTGGTGGAGCTAGCAATCTACATTACAATTATCAGAAAAACATATTTCCCTATGTTATAAAGACATGCACGTAGTGAAATTTACAGGCTGGGTGGAGGAGGTGTGGGGCAATATACCAAATACACGTATAGGAGGAATCAGCTGTTCTTCCCCAGCAATATAGATTTTATGATGACATACTTACTTACTTTACTTTGGTCGAGTTCCAGCTAGAACCAAACTGAAAACCATCCTCCACTTCACTCTATCCTCCACCAGAGACTGGATTTTATGTCTGGTCTGAAGTTGTTACTCCTTTGACTTTTTTTTACCTTTTGTGGGTTCCAAAAGGACGGATAATTTCTTTTCTCTCTGTGACCTGTTTGAACATGGTCTTTGGCCAAAGACAGCTGTGCTCTCTGTCCATGGTGTGGGGAGAAGACGGATGACCACTAATTAATCATGCCAGGCAGCTGGATGGGTGGCACTTGGGCACTCGGTGTAAGTTACCTGCTTGATCCAAAAACCACATGGCCGAAGGTTTCCTCCAAACCAATTCCCTGGGGAACGCATTTGTGCAATTTTTGAAATTCTTTCAAAGCGATCGTAGTACTTACACAAATGCCTCCGCCCCAAAGGCGTCGCCAAAAAGTGCTACAAAGACGTGTGGAGTACTTACTAGGCTATCTCTGCACACCAACCAAAGAAAAGAAGACCGTGATAGCAAGGAGCCTTAATTCGATCAGGTTTCATACTCGGAATATTAAGTTCCGCCTGAAGTGGGCTTAAAGAAATGTAATTTGGGCATAAAAACTATAAAAGTATATATAAGTCAAGTTCAGAGGTCGTCTGACATCATAAAATGCAGCACTGTTTGAAAAGTCAGATTTTCTCATGTTTCCAAGCTTGGACACGTTGGTGAAACCTGACGCGTCCTTGTCGTACACTCGAGAAACCAAAGTACCAAACTCAATACCTACTGCAAAACACAATTCTGTCTGGAAAACTATCTCGTATCAATTCAAAACAAATAATTCAAAACAGCATAACAAAACTTAGGATTATTAGTGCCCACTCTCTGTAAATTGAAAAAGGTAGCTACAGTACACACCAACCAATGAGAGACTGTCCCACATGCCATAAAGACGTTGAAAACGAATTCCATTTTAGATTGTCGAACTTAGGATGTAGACACTCAAAGGTATTGCAGTATATTGCATGTAAGAGCGATATAACGCTACCTCATACAAAGACATATATTCAATATACTATTATCATGCCCTGTCAATATATCCACTTATGTGGGCCAATTTATATACAATTCGCTGACAAAACGAGATAATGTAATTTATTCCTCATGCAATACCATATTATTGTGAGAAGAGTTAGATTAGTATCATTAGTGTTTTTATTGTTATATATTAAAGTAGGTCTGCTTCTTAGAAAAGTTAGAACGGTCAACTCTTAGAATGTTAAATATTGTTAATTTAACCCTCAACAGTACACCTTCCCGGACTGATTAATCTGTACACCTGGGGACCCCAGAACAGTTTTTTTCTAATATTTAGAAATTATCAACATGCTACCAGCTCAATTGTTTTGCAAACTGATGTGGGGACCTCTGTGTCCACATTACACACAAAAATCATACATTTTGAACTTTTTCTATTTTTTGGTGAAGAAAAGAAGACAAGAAGAAATACCCGATTTTTAAACCCATTTCAGACTGAAGGGGGGTTTGAGGCCCAACTTTGATCTCAGATAGCGGCTAAACGGTTTGCGCTAGAAGTATCAAATTTGGAGACCTTTCCTAAAATGTCTCTGGAAAAAAGTTCATATTAGTTTAATACTAGTAAGTTGATGTTTTTTTGTGTTGCCATGGCAACGGGTTTCTAGCAGACAGTTTTTTTGAAAATAGAAGTAATTTTGGTTTAAACATTAAAATTTTCTGAGTTTTATATTAAATTACACTTCTTTTCCAACATTAATAACATCTTACATAATTAAACATAAGTTAAATCATTTAATATGCATAGAATATGCTAATTTGATGACGTCATTGGTCAAAATCCAATATGGCGGACTATATTATTAGCTCTGACGTCATATGACGTGATAATTACACCAAAGTTATTAAAATTTAATTCTATTACTACACCATTCTCTGGAAACTTGGTAGACATACGATGAGTGCATAAAAACATATAAAAACGGAAATAAGGTAATGTATAAGAACGCCAGTGTATCCATTATGATCGAAAGCCGGCTGGGTTCCGCGCGGACCCCAAAAGAAAATCAGATATAATTTTTTTTATAAACGGTAGAAACGGAGTTTTCTGCACTGTATTGAGAGACAACTTTGTGGGTGACAATTACCTAAAATTTCAGAAAAAAATCTTTAGAAACAAAAAAGATATTACAGAATATATAGTGCTGGGGTCCGCGCGGACCCCAGGTGTACTATTTAGGGTTAACATCACCAACTTTGTATGCAACTTTGCCAGACGTTGTACCCGTTACAATTGTCGTGCAATAAAGTTCTCTTTGTTCAATGTCGAAAACTCGCGCACACAATGGGACACGCGGAGTGTACAAGATTTCCCACTGTTGGAAACGTCCCGTGTACTGACAAATTATCGTCACAATGAAAAGCTGAGAAGTACCTTTATATTTATAAAAGTTATATGTGGCAGTATCCATCCAAAGAAAATAGGATACGCAATCTATACAAGCAGTTTACTTGGGTTTGTTTACACATGCTGTCCGGTTCTTACCACATCGGAAAGGGGACTTTGCGAATTGCAGAATATTTTGCGTCCACACCAGGCTAAACCCCGCTAAAGAATCTAGCAGGATATGCTAAGCTTGTATGATTGGGGTGTAAGTGTATCCCGAAGTTTATACTGTAAACATTTTGTGTATATGGCCCTATGGAATGGATATACATGTACACTAAACATAATTATGACTCCCCTTTGTGAATTTTCTTGCAGAAATGGCGTGATCCCCTGATACATTTGGGTGTCCTATCTACCTGCCTACGTGCTCAGGCCAGGATCTTGCCCCTTGCTCTCCCTCATCTGGTTTCTCCAGACAGTTCTATTAAAGGCCATAGTCTCAGATTCCGTTAGTGTGATCCCTGTGTCCGTTTGTAATAACTAGACTAGTCTTTTCACCTCTTGGGTGGTCTGGGTTTTTAACTCCTGGTGGTATGCCGTATGAACTAAGGTTTTCTCATCACATATTCAAACTATCTAAGCCTTCTAACACGTAATAATGGTTTGTTCTGCCAAGTTTTCAATGAATTTCTACATTTTGGATGCGGTCCCAAAGGCTGGTGCAGAGAATTGCTCTTCAGCATCTCATTTCAAAGGATAACAAGTGCTTAAAAAAAAGCTGACATTTCAGCTGACGAAGGTCTTACTGCCGTTATTGAGGTAGAAGTTGTTGAAATGATATTACCCAAGTTGATGAAATTGGTACGAGACCACTTAAAGAAGAAAACACATCTGATAAAAAAAGCAAAACAGCGGATGTTAAAAAGAAAATTTAAAAAACTCATACGTCGGGACTTGAACAATTAGTTTTTGAGTGTTAAAAGCAAAACAGCGACTGTTAAAAAGAAAATTAAAAAAGCTCCTCTCCGGGGATCGAACTCGCTATGTGCAAACCCCGCCACGTGCACCGCCAAAAAGAAATTAAAAAAAAGAACATAAAAAAATAAAAAAAGAAAATTACAACAAAAAAAAATTAAAAAAAGAAAATTAAAAAAAAAAATTAAAAAAAAAAGAAAAAATTAAAAAAAGAAAAAGTTCTTCTCCGGGGATCGAACTC